CAATTAATTAAAAAATTTCCACCGGAGCAGTCCAAAAAAACTAGTCGTCGTTCAGTGACTGTTCATAGAAATGGAATCAGAAATTTTATGAAAATCCCGCAGCTCAAGTACTGAAATAGATACAATCGGCCGCTTGAATTTTCTGAACTGTGGGAATATTTTACAATAAAAATACAACTTTATTCAATCACTAGTGTTAGTATGATATTTCCTAGCGAACTTTCTTTATAAATAAGAAGAGCTTCAGTGTGACTGTATAGCAGGAGGAAAAGGTAAAGTTGCTTATCTCAGGTTGCAATGTAGATAAGCAGACCACACTACATTACAAACACTCACTGTAAAACATTATATTAGATCAAGTATTCTTGCAGCTAGCTATTCTCAACTCTCAAATATGAACTTGTGGGTCGACCAGACAATTAAAACATTTATCAGGAGTCACATTCCAAAAGATAAGCTGCTGATAAATTTTATCAGCTTTTGGAATGTGACTGCTCTAATATCACGTGACAATAAATGAACCAGTCGCAGTTTCCCTACATCCGTCATCACTGTTAAAATATTCACACTGGCAAAAGATAGCACCTTACAATTTGTTATAGATGTGTCTAGAGCCCTGTGAATGAATCTACTCTCTACAACTTTGTGGACTGCGAATTAACTAAGGTAAAGTTTATTTTCTCACGGGATATAAAACGATAGATCCATCACATACAATATACATTGATACATCCATGCATGATTCATAGTCGCTAGTGTAAAATTTTACTGCGTCTTGTATAGAATCAAAGACGGGAAAAGTCTTGTTTTAAGCTAGACTCTTAACTAATGAGCAATTTAGCTTAAAGTTATGTATTCATTGGTGATCAGAATGCAGACATCATTAAGTCCTTAGACCACTTTATGTAACAATGATTCATAACGTAACAATTATTCGTAGCGTAATATTGCCATTGATTAATATCTTAACAATGATTCGTCCCCGGGCTGAAATGTTTGCGGAGATATGGTTCTGAAACAAGTTGAAATGTATTACCAAGTCACGTGATCATCCCAGGATCTATAGTTCAGACTATTGCTTAATACTTGAATATATCATGTTAGTGAGATGGTAAACTATTGTTGGATATTTGCCAGGACCGCTACTTCTACCACGGTTATATGGTTTGTACTGCAGATGGCGCACACCAAGGAATTAATTACTCCTGTGTAGTGTAATATTAGAACCTGGTAACTTGCAACCTGGTAACCTGCAACCTGGTACCCCCTCCCCTGATGTAGCAAGCATCGGTTTGCCTGCTATAGCTAATGTAGCAAGAATTGTAGCTCCCTCTACTTGAAAAAAGATCAGGGAGTTGTTTGTACCATCTGTCTACCTAGGGCGAGGTTTATATGTTAATTTTACAGTACTCTTATTGTAAGAGGACTTGGTCGAGCAGAACGGGTGTTTGAGTGTGCAAGTCATCCGTTTAATGTGAGCTTTAGAGCGGTGAGCTTGATGTCTGTCCATGAATGGACGTTCTTTTAAACTAAAACCGCTTTAAAAAATTTTTGGAAGAAAATGTTTAACTTTAACTTCGTAAGAAAATTTTAAACCTTAAATTATCGTAACAATGGTGATAAAATATTTACACCCTGACCTTTATCTCTTTACGGTTGAACGACAAATGCCTTACATACCATGGCAGTGTGTTGGGGTTGGTGTTAATTACTATGTTGAACTAAAATGTTGCTCAGCTGGTGTAAACTTTACTATATAATATATACTAGCTGACCTTTGAGATAATACACAAACGTCAACAGCTTCTATTTGGATTGACTGAGCCTATGATAACTCTTCAAAACAAGGAAATTCCGCTGAACTTACTGCACAATATTCTTGGCACCTCCCCAATAAGGTCCTCCTTCTTGTTATTATATAAAAGATAATAACAATTTTTGGCTTCCTTACCACACTCTCTATTCCAGTCTGGACTACTAGTCTGAGAGTTAATACACAGCAGCTGCTGTTAACCCTGCTTACACTGCCGTCTATACTTTGCGTTATAATCACCAATCTAATAATGACAATCAGCATATCTCACTTCACACTTGGCAAATCTCTCTTTAAAAATGAAAATCTTTTCAAAATTATGCATACAATTAACTAGAACATTTGGCGCAAAACTAAAATCACAATATGATGACTGGATTCACGATTAAAGGTCAAATTTTATCATAAATTTCAATTATAATAAGAACTTTTTAAAATTAGTAGTCTAGAATCACAGACAAATCAGTTGGTTAATGAAAAATCATAATTTAGTGTTTGATAAAAAAGTCTTCCCTCACCATTGAGGCTACGATATGTGAAGTCTTACGTTTGATAACAATGAACTGCAGACGATAGCATTTCCAAGCACCGTTTCTTAATGCATTTCAACTTCAAGACTAACTACTGAAGCAGCTTATGTAGAGTATGTGGTGGTTTAAACATGTTACACTTGCAGTCATAACTCATGTCCTATTTTCCACCTTCATTAACATCATTGCGCAAATAATGAATGTCCATGAATGTTGATACATTGAGTAAGTATTAATAATGCCTTCCTAGCTGAAGTACTGTTACCAACCTTGTAGAAAGTGACGTTTTACCTACTATTTGTTATATAGTACAGTATGAAGAATGTGTATTACGGATTACTCACACGTCGGACACACAGAGATGTCCAATATTGTTGAGTGACTAGATGACAGATTGATAACCATTCCTTGTAAGGACGTTTACAAGAAGCGTTTCATTTATTTGTGCGCTTGCATCCATTTGCTAGGCCTGATTCTTCAAATGATGGCGATCAGGCATTGAGTTTCGCTTTTCGAACTGTCGATGTAATGAACAGATGGTTTAAAGCTTCATCTTTTCTTCTCAAGTATTCTGCCTTCCATTACCGGTTTAAAACACAGTGTTCGATCATCTTTATCCTTCATCAGTCCTTCATGTGTTGCTGAAATTAGAATCTGAACGTAGGTGATGAAAAAGCCGGGTGACCATAAGTCGAGAAATTGTCATTCTAGTTTCCATATACCAATACCAACACGATGACGTTTCCTTGGCTAGTTGGGACTTTGTTATGATATTAGCATTTTATATAATAACTCACTGCCAAACAATTTATACCTACGAAGGAGGTGTCACTTTGGCTTGGTCAGGTTGAGGAGTTAGCTGAAATTGTTATCACTGTTGGAGATTATGATGACGGCATTACACGATTAAGATCATTTTTATCATCAAGTGACCTTCAAATTATTATTTTAAGTTACTTTTCTAAAAATCTTAGCAGAACTCAAGATTCAAGTACAAAATCATTTGATTTAAAAAGTCATGATTTGGGGGAGTGGCCGTTTCTGAAAGAGAGGAGGGGTCTCCCTGACCAATGTATGGCTCACGTAATATGTGAAGGATCTCTAACGTAGATAAATCATTGATGAATCGTTTGGGCAGACGAATAAATCTATTTCCCAAGGCAACCGATATTCTGTGAATGGGCTCCATTTCAAGCATATCAGACTATCAGTACTAATAGAGTTATGTAGAGGTATGTTGGTGGTTATAAAACATGTGGTATGCACTGTGCAGCAATAATAGCATCATGTCTGAATTTAGCACACCTTCATTAACATTACATTGACGTCAAATAATGAATGTCATATAATATGCTTATACTATTTGAGTAATAATTGCAGAAATAATGCTCTTCCCAGGCTGAAGTAGCCCTGTTACCAACCGGTTGTAGAGTGGAACTAATTATTATAGCCTACTATTTGGTTATATAAGGTACATGTATATGGAAGAAATGTGATGAATTACTGATTACTCAACCGGTCAGGACATCAAAAGATCCGCGGTCCTCCAAATTATTGCTATCAGAAGTGGACAAGTTTTTAAGAGTCTGACTATTAGGGATAGACAGCATTCCATTGTCATAGATGGTTTACTCTAAAGAAGCGGTATAATGAGACTATTGGATAATTTGTTTGCAGTTTGCAAATACCAAATTATGCTTAAGGCCTGGAAGTCCATATATTAGTATGGCGATCAGAGAATTGAGAATCGTCTGTTTTGAAACGTGATAGTAATGATATTGACGATGGGATGGTTCAGTAAGCTCAGTTGCTATGGGGTGGGGCTTGTCTGCAAGGTATTCTGGGACCCTTCCATTACCTGGTTCTTAGGAGAAACCAGGCAGCTCTCCGACTCATCTTTACCTGTCAAACTCATGTTCCCTTGCAGTGTGTCTGCATGAATAGAAATCTGAACGAAGTTGATAAAATGCCCGGGGTTAGACCATTAAGTGATAAAATTTTATATTTCCATTCTGTGACGCATTTCCAGTATGGACTAAGTAGCCAAACGTCCGATTGACGTTTCCTGGCTCAGTTTGGTGAACATTTTTTAATTGTTAAAACTTTTAATTGTTCCCTTGATTCTTTCATGAAGCTGTCCGGGTGGCAATCTCATTCATCATGCTGGGCGACAAATCTACAGATCATTGTTTTTGTTAAAAAGTGAAATTGTTTTTCATTATTTTACGGACTTGCCAGAATGTTTACGTACGGCGCAGAGACAATTTTCAGTATCAAGCAATTTTGTCATCGTTTACCTTGATATCTTAAAGCCGCGTGCGCGCATCGCGCGCTCGCGGTTTTAATTCTACATACCATGTGCCTCATTTACTCATCGATTCCTCGGCCTGCATCTCACACCATGCAGTAAATCTGACAGTACAGTTGACTGACAATACAACACAAATTTACTATTCAAAATAATTACAGCTCAAAAAAATTGACAATTTAATAAAATTAACGATACAGCCCAACAAACATTTTGTAAATGCTTCCAGAATCCAGTCCCAGTTTTAACTCCCAAGTTTAAATTTCGATAATTTTAAAATGATTAAGTGTTATGTTTCGCGATCTTCTAAATAAGGAGAAGAAATTCCATTAATATATTTAATTTTCAGTTGCGCAGAAGAGGTAAGATGGGGAGGAGTGAGAGTGATCCTGGACATGATTCGTGGATACAGGACAAGTACAAGTTACCTCCCCTTATAAACGTCACTCCCTGCGCTGAGAACGAGTAAGTCGGTTGTTGCCCACACCGGGGATTTGTGTACGTTTGTTTGTTTGTTACTGTGTTTATTGGTAGTGTGGGGTGGGTCGTGGTTAGGTGCCTTGTCAATGATTTGCTAACTATGTATTTTAAAAATAAAACCATGTATCTTGCTTCAATTATAATAAGCAGTCAAATAATGGTTTAAATTTGGTTGTCAGGTTAACAGAAACCTTCTGGATAAGTTGAGGTGTGAGATTTATAAAATTTAGGTATTAACAGTGTGATACTGATGTGAGAGGTAGTTTACCAAGCTCATAAAACGTTAATTTTGAGAGTAAATTCTATCATATTTTGAGTATTTCAGTATTTGGTGAAATTGCGAATATTTACTTACCTTATTATACCATATTCTCTGTAATTTCAATTTGTTTGTCTGTTATGTTACTGTTGATTAAATATCTATCCAATCAAGAATTTAGAAGGCAAGGGTGGGGAGTAATCCTCACGGTCTGCACTCTCCCGTATCATCCTGGATTCTTCTTGACGTATTCTTGCAAAAGGTTTACCGTTTATGTCTTATAATCACTCATTAGCTACTCCAATCTCGTAACATTCAAACTTAAGAGTTCTATAATATACAACATTTTTTTACTTGCTTTTCTTGATTTCTCCGTTTTATTGTTAGCTGACAACACGGATTAACAAATTAAGTCAGCACTTCAGACTTGCTTAATTAGTTAATTGAAAGTATTTACGAATGAGGTGTTTTTTGCGCCGTATCTTTCAGATTTTATTATTAAGTTCGGACGTAAGGTACACGGTTTTCCTGGAATCACACACTACACGGATGTTGTAGTAACAATGAAACAAAAAGTACAATTTGTTCTTATTTTATTCCGACCACTTTGTGCGGACATCATCTCAACTAGTGAAGAGGAAATGCATTGACCTCATGGAGTGTTCAGTGTTGACATCTATCACTATGTGTACATGTACTCGACTCCGTGCTTTCTTTATGTATTGTTAGACTGCAGTAACGATCGTCCCTTTGTGCTGACAATTTGGAGCGGTCTTATTTTCACTCAAATTTTGGAAACACACCTTTCACGACCATCCACGACTTTTCTCAATGCCAGGGTAATAGTTGTCTTGCACCTTGCTCGCATCACATCTACTTGGACGGCTGGTGCCAGGTGCATACTTGTTACGATACCATAAATGGTATAGTATAATTAAATACAAGAAATATGGTCCATGACAGCTTCTGATTTGGATAATTCACGCTGTCCAAGAGTCCCAAAATGAGAGGGCCTGTTGAATATTTATCAGCATCTAAACATACAAAGCAACTGGTTTAATTACGGTATTACGTCTATGTCCTATGAGAGTCTTTGAAGCTTCTAGTCTAACATTACAACTGTGTTGAGGTAAGTGGTAGAATGTTATGGAAGAGTATAACCCACACCTTGATTCCGGAGGAGGGATATTAATTTGGCACCTCCAGGGTCTCACAGTCTGAGACCCTGTGCTGTTGTGTCACAAATCGTTGATCCTGCCATGATGCTACTCAGCAGTAGATAATTCATTAGTTTAATATGATATTGACAAATGAAGTGGGTGATGTAAGCAATGCGAATTATATTATAATACTGTTAGAGGTAACTGCAGTCTTCCACTGGATCGATTAACCCGTTTTATTGCAACCCTTGTTCAACCGATTGATGACTTGGCTTGTTACACCCGTGCAATCAGTTAGTCATTTATTCCCTTTGAGTTGTAGTTTATAGCAATTACAAGTATCGGAGCATGTGCCATAATTGGTGTACAGTGGCCGAAGTTCCCTGTAGTTATTATAATACAGCCTGTAAGTAATACTGCAATACTGTTTATTATCTTTATCAGCGTTCTACATTTGAGTTGGGTCTACATCCTCTGTACAGCTGGTAGATATTAAATGGCTGATTGACGTGGTGCATTTCATTCCGCCCTGTCACTGATAAACCACCTGGCAGCCACCCTGTATCACCATCACATGCACTTTAAATAGAATATCGTATCAAACACCACCACCCCTTGCTCTGTCGTACCTTCTCATCACTTATCTGGTGCCTTCATGCACATCGCTGGATTGCACCACCGACAAGTGGCGTTTTTATTTGCTCATTTAGGAGTTTAGCGTTTTCTGCTTGATACATCTGTTTTTATTTGCTGTGGATTTGGCAACAGCTCAAAAGAACAACAATCTAGAACACCATCAACAGTGTTCAACACTAAGCTTTACTGAAACTTTTCCCGGATGACCCCCGACAGTGTTTCCATCGGCCATCCAGTCCCAATTAATTAGAATACAAATATTGGTTGATTTGTCATATTATATGGCTGTTAGAATATATTTTCCTATACAAATAGCTTACCTAGATTTACTGCGAAGGTCTTCTGGCCAGTAGTTTTGGCTTACCTCCTGGAAGGTAGAAACATTCATCAGCAAAATCATAATCAGTAAGAATGATAGTCATCGGTCTGAACCGTTGTACGACTTAACCCTGTCAATAAAGAAAATCAGATCAGATTATAAGACATAATAAGTCAAGGTGACCTCAACCTGTGGGTGTCGGCACTATTTTTCATGCTTTTTCTTAACTCCATGAATGAGGTGTAACTGGTTCCACGTATTTTTGAATAGTTAGAATCGTTTACTATTGAATATTCAGCAATCAGCTCGTAAACAAATATCCACTCAGTCCGTTTAGACCTAGTATCATTGTAATAATACTCGCTCCAAACTCAGAAACTAGGTGAATGGAGCCAACTTAAGCAGTTCAAAATTGGATTGGTTCACCCGTCTCAATTTCCAATGTACGATTAGGCTGAAGTCTGTATGAAACGATCCCACATCGTCATTAATAACGCCATATCATGATGTTTACTAACGTTTTTAGCTACCTCCATAGTAACTCCATAGTAACAATATAACCATAGTAACTCGGCCAATGTTCGCCGACTTTCTCAGTTCACAAAACATCTCACCTGCACGCGTCCAATATTCATTTGCTTGATGCATTTATATTTCTGCGAAAGAAATGATTTCGAGGTAAAAATTTGAAGGAAGTCTGGACTGTGGGTGGAATAGTTGGATAGTTAGTTACTTGATCAGCGTGGTGGTTTTAATCCGTTTCCGCTGAACGAGTAGTGACCGTTAAAATCCGCGTTTATTATTCTCGCTGACTCTCGGAACGGTCAATCATCAAGCTATTTCATCATCGAGTTGTTTTTTTCTTCTTCAGAAGTCTGTAATACCTTTTAAATTTTCCCAACAAAATTAAGATATTATCTCGATTCGCGATGGTCTGAGCCTTTTATAATATGGCCACTGCATAATATGACCCCGAGCACAGAAATAGTTGTGACAAATTAGTCCCCAGAAAATATTCATAATGCCGTAACTATTGCAAAATATTGCAATAATTTCCCTGTAAAGTCGACAGTAATGTCCCAAATAAAGTGCTGCCGCGTATATATTACCTTACTCGGGAATATTATAGCGGGTTAATTTATGACTGGGAAAATTAATGACCGGGAAAAATATGGCGGACTTTCCCAAAACCCGCCAAATTATCCCGGTCATGTATTTACCGGTGGCCGACCTTTCAAGTTTTTTTTCAGAGGTCAACAAATTTTCAACCGAAATTTCTGTTTTTGTTACTTGTTAAAGAAGTTATTTCAATTTACAGTTATTGATATTACTCAGAAATAGAAAAAAAGACACGTCTATTTAAAGGAAAATAAATCTAAGCAATAATAAGTCAAATTTTCATTAAAGCGTATTCTCATTCTCATTATCGCTAATGTCCCCGCCATTATCATTATTGATATCCCCCTGAGCTGCTGGCCGTCAAATTCGAAGTTGTATTGTTGTCTTAACAAGACTTTCATTTTGTCCGCTAATGGGGCTACCCGCTACTGCTCTGAAGGTCAGCCGGAGCTTAATTTCCTGCCCACCGCTTGGTATTGGGGAACGTCTTGGTTTTGCATCTTCAACTGCTCCAGTAATCAATCCACCGTGGACCATGAAATAGTGGCACAGTTTACTCACTTCTAGCGGGATGTGGCCACAAGTTACTTTAACGGGAAAAACTCCCTCTTTCTTTAGTCTACACACTGCACACGAGAAGCGATCAATCTTTAGAGACATTATTATTATAATATATATTATATATTATTATTATATTCTTTTTCTTCTATAACATATAAATTGTTTTCTTCTCTACGATTCACTGATTCATGGGCAAGAGAAGTGAGAATCACGGTCCACCCTGAAATCTGATTTCTATAACCAAATTGTGATTTTTATAACGAAATTATGGTAGCAACCGCCAATAAAGTTACAGCCCTCCATCCACTGCTTCAAAAGTTTTCTCTAGCACATATGAGACTTCAGGTAAAATATGATGATCACCACCCCCTTGGAACCCCATAATCTGAGTCGGCGGGTTTTTTTATGACTGGTAAAATTTTTGACCGGGAAAAATATGGCGGAAACTTCCAAAACCCACCACTTTATCCCGGTTATAATATTCCCGAGTAAGGTACATCACGATTCCGAGGGTCGAGAGTTTATGTTTTACAGTAATTACGTTGGGGTCTATCTCCAGTGGGCCTGGGACACTTCTGGTAGAGATTTGATGTGTTTGCTCTCCGTAACACGGGAATTTTTTTTGCTAAATTCCAAAATGTTCAAATGCACGCTTCACTTCACCGTTTTAATTCTAATAGTTGTCATTTGTACATACTTCTATTACTATAAAATATGCGCATAATTGGAAAGGTGCCAAGTTCAGCCACCCGACGCATCTGAAGCCTGATTACAAGGCAGCTGGCAGAGGGCCAGTAACGGGAATGTAGCCTGCCAAAATACCTGGTTATCCTCAGAAGTAGGCCCGGAGTCTGAGCTATTTGAATAAGTTGGTTACCTGTCCATAGCTCTGTCTCACTATGCATACGGTTATTGTTAGTTTATATTCGCT